TGCCGGACTGCCACGCAGGGGCCCCAGGTTCGATTCCCGGGCCGGGAGAAATGTTTGTATGGCCTACATTTATTTCTCTCGCGAGCTTGGGTGCAATTTGTGGTTGTCTATGTATGTGTCCAAAGCACTCGCGACACAGGGATTCCCTAGTGTGGGGATATATTGAGTGTGTGCGTTATTATTATTATTTATTTTAGACTCTCGCTTCTCCGATGGCCTAAAATATTAATTTTGAATTGTTTTTATTACTGTTATTATTGTTCCTCTGTTGTTTTGTTTATATGCGTGTCTGTCCTTGTGTAATAAACTTCTTCAAGTAATTAACTTTCTTCTTTCTTTCTTTAAAATAAGTACCATCCATCCCCGGCATCTCATCAGGCAAATGGGTCTTATATTACTTTCAAATATCAACTCTCGTTTGCGCTGAAACCACAAATTAGAAAGCTGAAATAGGACAGCGCCAACAACTGACCTGTGTGTACGTCTCCGTATATTCCAAAAATATTCTGCATTTATTGTAATAAAGATAATGTCTCTAACTATAAGGGGCTGTTCCAATCGGTGGTGTGGGAAAAACAGCAAAACATCTAAGCTACAAAACAAACGTAATCACATTTAAACGGTGATTAAATATTAAATATGTAATTTTCAATTTTCGACCATTATAACAAAGGTCAAGTAAAACTGATCCATTTGAAGTGAAAGAATTGACGACACCCGTCAATTGTTTTTTTCCTTTCGTGCTCTTAAGAGGGAGCAGAGGAAAAATTCCTAATCTTCGATTTGATTTTAGAGATTTTAGAGATTTAGATTCCACTTTAAAGTTAAAAATAAGATATTGTATGAGTAACTACACGATATATTCAAGCATAGACATTAATCAGAAACATAAAACAATAAAGTTTCCTCGATAGATAAAAATCACGAAATGACCTCTAATTTTCACATTTTTTCGATTTATCCTCGAAATGCTACAGGTTATTAGGACAAAAATTAGATAATTAATTATACTTATGCATGATCGACAACTGTCGCTACGGATTTTTATTTAATCCCTTTAGTTTTAGAGTTATTCCGCTAAAACGAATTTGGTACTTTTAATGCGCAAAATGCAACATCTCCTGTCGCATGTCACGCGAACTTTAGGCATATATTTGTTTCACAAATTTGGGCGGAGCCAACGTGAAAACTTTTTTGACATGAGAGCTCTTAAGTCTCCTGGACCCTTGATCGATGCACACGCGTTTCGTCGCTGCTCGCTGTTGTAATTCTAATTCATATGTATTACAGTGAACAGACCATCGAGCTATACACTTTTATTCAAATATCGCCTTTAGTGCAACGGAATAAGATCCGTCAATGCATAGCTTCGTGTACCGCGTTTGCAATGCAGCGTCACCGCTCAGGCATCGCAACACCGAAGCAATCTTTCCGCATCGTGTGGCATCGCTCTTAATTGACAGATTTAATTTTCCAAAATTTTAAAGTGTTGTGGCTTATGAATAGTTAGAGAACCAGTCAGTAATCTGATTTACAGTGCATGAGTACATTGTCCTTAATTGTAAAATTATTTTTAATGAAATATCGAATTTGTATTAAATTTTTCAGACGCTCGGATTAGTACAGCAGGTTTCGGTAATTATGAACGTATTTTAGACAAAGGAACTTTCCGGGGAATAAGATACAAAACAAACTTGAATATAACACACCATGGTTCAAAAGTATACTGCTTGGCGATGAAAGATAACATAGTGGTCGGTAGATCCAAGGAATTACAATTATTATTGGGTAAGTAGATTTTTCCTCCATAATATTTTAATCGGATAACATTATTTGATCCTATAATAACCAATTGACCTATTGTAAATGTGCACTTTTTTAAATAAACGATATTTTTTTATATTTGATAAACCGATAAGTTATAAATGAACTGCTGTCAAGGTCACACTATTATTATGTTTAGGCATACTAAATTAATATTTGGTATTCAAAAATAATATTTGATCGTTTATCATTGAGCTTTTCATATAACGAACTAGTATATCCTTTGATATTGATCTCTTAATAAACCTTGGTTGCTAGGTTGCGCCCTCCGTTCAGCAGGTTGGGTTAGGTTAGTATGTGAAAAAGCAGCACGAGCCGAGCGAGCGAAGCGAGCGTTCCGCGACAGCGGCCGGCGAATACTAGAAGCCAATTTGCTTGCGTTTCAGAACATGTTTTCAGGTCAAATTATATTATAATTAATATAATATTAGTAACAAATACTTAGTTTTAAAAATAAGAATCTTAATTTTATTTTTAATGCTCATTTATCTTAGTTTTGAGGCCCAACACAAAACTATCAAATTTAATTTTATAACAATTAAACATTTTTTGCGTGACTCAGAACAGATTAAAATATCAAACGATTCAATTTATTTTATGTCTCAGATTAAGAGGATCTATCATTTAAAAAGATCACCGTTTAGATTTCAGCCTGCTGCTTTTGAAAATTGAAAAAGATCATATAAATACATGCCAATATAAATTAAATTCTATAATAAGATTCCTCTTGACATTCAAAATATGCCATATAAGAGGTTTAAACCTGAAAGGGTTGTAACCCTAACTAGCCGTGACCAGGTTCACGGCAATGAAACTGGAAACTTCCGGTCCACAAAATTTATTAAAAGAAGTAAAGTAAAACGAAATGCTGTAACAATAAAAAGGTAAATGTAAAAAAACAGGTACAATAGTATAAAACACTCCCTACACTTCATAATGGATATTAAGGCACTAATCCCTAAATGGGCCGAGTAACTAAATTACAGATACGTAATCTTAGGTATATGAATACTGTAGACTGTTATAGATTATTATACATAATTTAGCTTATTTAATGACGATTATAAACGTAGTAAAGAGAAAAAATTAGCGATTATACGCGATGGAATTTGAAACAGCTCCGACCGTTGTGGCGGTCGAGCAGGGAGTGACCGTGGTACGAAAACAAAATGAGAAAGCGAAGGAAGATGGAACAATTCAAATTTAAAATTTAAATACAAGTAAAAGAAAAAATGATACGATACAAGTGGAGAGAGGCGATACAAAAAGGTGGGATGACGGTGTAAGGAGGTCACACCGTCACAAAACTACAGTGAAACAAAAACTTTATAGTAAAGTTTGTTACACTTGGATGCTTCTGCGTACTTGGTTGACAAAAATCCGTTTAGCTCTTGCGGGTATTACCGATCTAACATGTTTGAAATAAATATTGTAAATGACAAATGTATTTACAAAGAGCAATACCTAGAGTGAATGAGCAAGAACTCATTCTTTTCAGGAGAATCTGCTTTACGAATGAGCAGTAGAGTTTAATCAATATGAAGATTTCAAATGTAATTTGATTACATATGAAATAAAGACGTTTTCAGATTTAGAATGTTGCAAACTTAGAATAATAACGCATAGAATGATAGTTTCATATCAAACGAACTGTCACAAGTGAGGCAAAAATCAAATTCATGTAGGCTAGTTTTAGTAGTAGGTTAATTTTCGGTTTTAGTGAATATTTATATAAAAATACAAGTTGAAACGCGTTACTTCGTTGTGGAATGTGATGTTAGTATCTATTTTACGTTTGTCTGACGTATTTTTACACTCATTTACCGCACATTTCGACATTTTTATCCAAAATTCTTGTGCTGTTCGCGGTGCAAGTTGACCTTGAGCACTGAAGGCCCGCCCGCTCGTGTAGGCCCAATGGGAGCGCTTCAAATTGCCTCACTTAGCGTGTGCGGACTAGTTTTCTATTCGTTATTATTCTAAGGTTGCAAAGTGATTTGTGAATCATCCAATCGTGTTCGAGAATTGCCATTAGGAAGTCAGGTCTGAACAGTTGCATTGAATCTGACGACGAGCTGCAGTTGTTTGTACTGCCACATTGAGCGCCCGGTTTGGTGGCTATTGAGATCTGAATCACGGTGCACCGCTAGTCGACCGTAGGAAGTCGGTGACCAAGGTAGTGAGAAAGCCATCCGTGAAAAGCTGCCACGCCACCTAACGAAAAATCCCGGACCGGCCATTTCCGGGGTAGGTGCGGACTTCCTGGCGGTCTCCAAACCGACTGTACCCTCGTGCGGCAGTGTGACTTAAAGCCTCGTTCAACTGCCTTTTTTTATTAAAAAAAGTGCACAGTTTTCTTTCAACTCATCTGATGGAACGTGACGATAAGGTCGACGATGGACCGTGCGTACTTAACTAATGCCTATACACTCTCGCTTTGAAAACACTCAAGTTATAGTGTTCAGAGAATAAGTATGCAGACAGGGAATTCCACTCCATAGCCATGGCCATATAAATGTGAGGGTGAAACTTCGTGCGAATTCTTAGAATATATCCACAACTAAGGGGTGGACCCCAGCTTACGTCTAGTCCTCCGATTGTTAAAACGGGAAGGTGGAATTAAAACGTGCAATTACGTGTGGGATCTCACATTCTCTGTGATATATCATGTAGAAAACCGATACGCAGGCAACTTATACGACGTATCAAATCTAAGACCGAGGCACTTATAAGCCTCTTGACACCTTTGTCAATTGAATCCCAGATGGCCAGTTGGTATTTAGCAGAGCCATCCCAAAGGTGGCAGCAGTACTCCATACACGACCGGACTTGTCCTTGGTACAGCTGAAATAACAGTCCCGTATCAACTGTACCGTGTGAAGAAACGTCTCACCATCGAAAAGATACCAAGCTCAACTGGTCTACATCTATTTCTCTCGTGAGTTTGGGTGTAATTCATGCCACAGGGTTTCCTTAGTGCGGGGCTATGAGAGTGTGGGTTATTATTATTATTTATGTGGCGAACGGCTATGGAGTGGAATTCTCTGCCTGGAGACTTGTTCTCTGAACGGTGTAACTTGAGCCTTTTTCAGGCGAGAGTTAATACAGGCATTATTTAGAGTGCATGCTCCGTCCAGGGTCGCTTCCTATCAGATGAGATGGAGATTGAATGCGTATTTATGTCATTACTTTTCTTGTCGTAGTGCTTATATTGAATCTATACAGAATGTTCAATGCATGTAAAAAAAGGAGGACGTTCTCAATTTGGCTGTATTTTTTTGCATGTATGTTACGCGATAACTCCGCCATTGTGAACCGATTTTGATGATTCTTTGTTGTTTGAAAGAGTGTAGGGTAACCTGGTCTAAGATGACGCATCCGATAAGAGTACGCAATGTACATTGCCGAGAAGTTATTTACAATACGCAACTAAGTTCAGTGTCATTTTGTAGTGCTAGGAAGTGGAGATTGTTGTGCGGAAAAATTATCAAAAATTATTGAAAACCAAGAAACTACCTAAGCCTGAACATTTTTATGTATTCGATTGAAGCTTTTTGGTATTTTCAAATTGTTACTGAGACTAAACTAAGCATATTTTTTAAATAAACTAGGGAACTTTTTAGCAAACTAGGGAATGAATCCGGTTTTGCGCACTTTCCGGTAACCGATTCCAATAGAACTTGGCAAATAGATGTAAATAATCCACGAACTTTTGAGGTCGTTAAATAACCAAAAACAAATATCTGCATCAAGCACATAGAAATATTCGTAAGGTCTGCTAGTTCGTCCAGTGACTTAGTTGGCATAGCGGCTGTAGATTTACGATTTGCTGGAAGACGTTGGTTTGAATCCGGTCGTATCGAAGGATTTTTTTAGATAGATAGATAGATAGATAGATAATTCGTTTATTTGCCGAAACACAGTACATTACAAAACAAACTTACAACAATGGTACAATAGTAGAATTAAAATAATAATAATAATAATAAAAAAGAAAAACAAACTAGTCTATACTTGATGTGGAGTGTTATATTGTGTGGAGTGTAGATTTTCGTGTACTGTGTCAGCAAAAAGGACCCAACTCAGCGTTATGTCGCAGCTCAGTAGAACTACGACGCTGGTGATTCTGCTAGGTCCTAAATGAGCCGGTAAGAGAGATTTATATTAACGAATAGAAACTGTGTCAGTGTGTATGAATATAATTATAATTATGATATTAACTATATATGAAATATAATATAATACAAAATAATATATACGTATACACATGCACAACACACATACACATACAATACACATATAAAAAAAAAAAATAAAAACAAACAAATAAAATTCTACCGTCATCGAAAAAATAACAAAACGGAACACAATCTAATGTGACAACTATATACACTACCGCAAATGTATTCGCTAACTACGCTCGCTGCCAATACTAGATACGGCCTACCATATTAATTTCATTTTTATAACTTTATTTAAAATAACATAACATATTTTATTTTTTATTTATTTATTTTATTTGATTTTATTTCATTTGAACTTATGGCGTCTGTTTCAAATACTCGCGAAATAATTTGTTGGATATATTTTTTTAATGAAAATTTAAAAGAGTAGATTGAGGTAAGATTTCTAATGGGGGATGGTATGTCATTCCTTATTTTGGTCGCATTGTATTTGAAATAACCACGGAAAGCAGCCGTTTTATGGGTGGGAACAATGAGCGGCGGGACGCACGTTCTAAACGGCATGACTTGTCTATTTGAACGCCATTTTAGTTTTTATAAAGGTAAGATGGTACGTGGTTCTTTATGATTCCAAATAGCAGAGTCGCAGTGTGTAGTTTTTGACGTTCGCTCATGTTTAGAACTTTAAAAGATTGAAGATATGGCGAGACATGGGTACGTGGTGGTATTCTAAATCAGTATCTTGCACAGGCATTTTGCACACGCTGAATCAATTTTTGGGATTTTTTTGTAATGCAGGACCCATGGACGGTGACGCAGTAATTTAGTTTAGATAGTACTAGTGCATCACAAAGCATTACCCTCAAATCCAAATTTATGAGATCTCGAATTCTGTATAATACTTTAAGGCGATAAAATCAGTTACGCACCGTCTCTAGCAAATAATGTTGGAAACGCAGCCCACCATCCATCAAAATACCCAAATTACGAGCCTCCTCCACCCGTTCAATATTTACACCTGATATATTTATAGTGGGATTTAGATCAACAATCCTTGCAATTTGTTTACACGAGCCCAAAACGATGTATTTTGTTTTTTGAGGATTAAGCACCACACAATTTCTCGAAGACCACGCTACGATATTCGCAAGATCTTCATTCAGTGCTTTAATTGTCTCGCTGAAATCATGGGTACCTACGGGTATATAAACCTGAAGATCATCTGCGTATAAGTGATACTGAGAGTGTTTGATAGAATTTGTTATATCGGAGGTATAGAGTATAAACAGAAGAGGACCCAATATAGATCCCTGAGGCACTCCTCTGCTTACACGCGCCTCCTGCGAAACTAAGGTAGAACCGTCAGCAGCACAGATCTCAACACGTTGCGCACGATCCCCCAAATACGAGCCAAACCATGCTATTGTAGAATCATCAAACCTGTAGAACGCCATTTTGGAAAGAAGAAGTTAGTGATTAATGCAATCAAATGCCCTTGAGTAGTCCAGTAAAAGGAGGACAGTTGCTTTGCCTTTATCTTGATTAGAGAGTATGTTGTCAACAACATCAAGCAATGCCGTCGCCGTACTTTCGACTTATTCCGTTAACTGCGACTGTGTTGTTGTAACATTACTTATGACACTAACCACAGTGATAAAAGACATAAAATCGTTAAAGGAATAAAACACCAACTTTTCTGTTGCGATATATTAACCATAGCAACACGCAGGTATGACCAATCGTATCCAGTGGAACAAACAGAATGCCCAGTTATACCTTTATGCACACTGTGGAATAAGGCAATATTCGCTTTTACTCCTATATAAATTCCCCATCATTATGGAACTATGTGAGAAGTGTCTTTATGTAAAAATATATCTGTAGTTATTCTTTAAACTTCCATGTTTTTTTTTCAGTTGAGTTTACTTGTACCGTTAGACTCATAAAAAATGCCCGATAACAAAAATGCCTTTAGAAACAGGGAGTTATGCTCTTAATGCAATAAAAAAAGGACGTTAGGAGACTGCTAGAGAGATGTCCATTTTTGTCTGTTATGTAATCGGACACGCTGAAGCCAATGGTGCAATAAAAATAAAAGGGCATAACTCGTCTTATTCCGTTTTTCACTGGAGGCACTGAAATATTATATAATATAGACTATCGACTGAACGTTGGTTACGCTTATGGAAGAAATAGCTGGACTTTTTTCATTAGAATCATCATCGGCCCATTATTCGTTCAACTATTGGACATAGGTTCATTTGAATTGTTACTTTTTGAAAATTATACATGCGTACATTAAATTTAGCAGTATGTGTATAAAAAATACAAATATTAATATAATATAAATATCTTAAAGTATTTCATTTGAATTCAATATACATTATACAGTGTGTTGATTTGCATTCTCGCCATATTTAAGAAATTAATAATAGAAATAATGCTAAATCATCTCAAAATATTGAAAAAATTATTCTGTTAAATATTCTGGCTAATTGTATCTAGTAAAGTTTTTCAAAATTGTCTCAACTCATATGCACCACGCAAGGGCAGTGACCCCGCTACACGCTTCATCGAGCGATACGTAATCTTTCTCAATCGCTTATTTACTATTTATTACATTAATTAGAAAAGTTGAATGAAAAAACTTTTTTGTAACTTAGATTTGGTACTTACCAACTTTAGGTTACGTGAAAGTATTGCTAGAAGTACCTAGCTCCACAAGTATTGCTAGAAGTACCTAGTTCCACAGCTATGCACAGATTCGCGTGTGAGTTTCGTTTCAACATTAGACTCTACAATTTTGAAAGCTGAAACTTCGACACTCGTGTCCTCCGCGTAAACTAAACGTTTTACATCATGCCATAAGAATAGACACGCACTTGTGCTACTAACTCTTTTTTTTTGCACTACTAACTCTTGTTTACATACCAAACCACATGGCATTTCGTGACAGACTAGAATAGAATGGCCCTATAGCGTGACGTAGACGCAGTACGGGAAGCAAAGTCGACTGATCTACCAATCGCGCGCTCGATACGACACTACCCCGCCGTCGCTACCCGCACCCCACCGCCAAATAGATCTAAAATGCGTTTCTCTCTGCGCATTTAAGATCATTGTTCAAAATGTTTGCAAGTGCCGTGCAAGTCAATGACCTTTGGATCAAATTTGTTTACCGCAATTAAATAAAAAAAAGGTATTTGTATAACTAGAAAATAGAATTTTTATTTTCGATTTATTTTTCTAGTGTTATGTTCAATTTCGGATATAGAATGACCTCTGTAAATATAGCGAGAATGCAAATCAACACATTGTATAATCACATCCGCCTGTCGTTATTAAAATGTGTATGATTAAAAATTTATTTTGATACTAACAGATCAACTAAGAAGATAGAATACAGAATAAGAATGAAGAATGCAATTACTGTCATTATAACGTCGTAACATTCACAATTCAGACATTGTTGGCAAAATTTCACCTACTTTCACAATTTATCGATAAAACAGTAAACTACATGATTATTTGAAATTTTACGGAAACTGGCAACGCTGCAAATGTCATTTTATCAGAGAACAAAAAAGTAACGAGAATGTACACTCTCCGCCCCTCCCTAGTTTTAGATACCGCACCACGTCCCTCACATTGACGGTCACATTTACGGAATGGCAACAAGGCTGTCGGCATGTTTGACCAGTTCCTAGACAATTAAAGAAATAACAATTACAGATGAAGCTGGCACTTCAGTAAAACCAGGTGATAATACTACTTCTGGACTTCTGCTAAAAAATGAACCAACAGGTAAAAACAATTTATACTACCTTAAGTGCAGGATTTGCGGTGTATTACTGTATTTTATTTGAGATGTTTTTGTTGTAGTACGGAGGGTGTTTATTTAACAATGCAGAATAATAATTTTTATTTTAAAAAACTTGTATTTAAACTTAATCCTTTTCTAATTTGCGAAACCGAATAGCCGCCATTTTGCGGTAGGATGAGCGCATCGCGTGAGCGGTTAAAAAGCACTAATGAAAATTTTGGTGTACTTGGATAAATATGATAATATTCCGTTTGAGTGCTTCTAACGTTTACCATGAAATTACTCCTTAAAGTATACTTTATAAACATTTTTATTCAGGGTAAACTTAACCGCTCACGCGATTCATGCGTCTCTAGAAGCATACCACACCTAGAGGTGCCGGTGATGATTTTATACCGATTTATCGGATATCGAAGTTATAACAGGTAAAAGAACTAATATTAATTGCTATTTCGGTAACTACTCTAGCAAACCATAAAGTTTTTAATGCCTGGGTCTGTCATTTAAAAAAAATAAACAACTTCAAAAATACGTCACGACAATCGTGTGTGTTATTGTTTGGGCTGGTGATGTCAGTGTTTATTTATTGAAAACATACCGTAAGTTGCGTTTTTTGGAATTAACTGCAGTTAATTCCGAAAAAGTCTGACGAAAGAGTCTGACGCCTATCGGATGTGTATTGAGTGAATCCGATCCGATAATCGGATCCGACCATCAGGCACAAAATCGGACGTGTATTCCCGCGCAAAGGGCGCTGGTGCAATAACAGGCACATGGAACTTATCCACTTTATGTCTCAATGTGACGCATGCAGGGCCGTGCCCTCGGGTCTTTGCAATTTACAGTTCTGAGTGGAACTCCAACTGTTTTGAGTAGATGTGTCGCTCACTATCAGGCGCACGGCATGTTTGACCAGTTCCTTGATAATTAAAAATATAACAATTACAGATGAAGCTGGCACTTCAGTAAAACCAGGTGATAATACTACTTCTGGACTTCTGCTAAAAAATGTGCCAACAGGTAAAAACAATTTATATGATTTTGTAATATATATAACACACTGTGTTTCAAAACTCGTATAGCAACGAATGTGGATATTTGGGCTGAGAACATAAAAGTAACGAGAATGTACACTCTCCGCCCCTCCCTAGTTTTAGATACCGCACCACGTCCCTCACATTGACGGTCACATTTACCGAATGGCAACAAGGCAGTCGGCGAGCCGTTTTCGCGACAAAAGAGCGTCGCGAAAACCCTACCGCTATTATATGGGGTGGGGTGAGGTGCATTGTCAGTAACCGAATGTTTATGCGCGTAGACGGGTGTTGCTTAGTACTCAACATATGCAATAACATATTTCTTCCTACAGTCGGTAGTAAAACGACGGCTACCTGGATGACTCGCAATGCACTGTCACGTTGTACCCTACATACGTCTGTCCGAAAGCATTCGTAACGTATACATACTCATCATTTTCTCGTCTGCAACAGACACGACATGTTTTCGTGGTTAGATCCGACAAAGTACTTGTCGTGTACAAGACCATTCTCATCTTTTCTGCAGCAGATACGTCGAATTTCTTAACGTGTACACGCGCTCTTACCCTGCCACTTCACACACACATTTGCGCGTGTGCAGATAGCGTCTTGCTGTATTTAGTAGTAGGTAAATAACTTTTGACCGTTGTATGGAGTGTCGGGGGTGTGATTTGGGGCTGTAAAGAGCACTGACAATTGTTAAAAAACAGGTTACAATTGGTGCACGTGTCAAAACTTTAAAAAATACTTCAGTCATTAAGTAGCCAATTAATTGTGCGTAATTAATTGTAATTTTATTTTATTCCGAAACACTACGTACGTGACAGTAAAAAACTTAAAAAAACTATGTGTCTGTCTGTTGTTCTGTGTCTGTGCAACGCACTCTAATCGGTTTTTGATATTTACTTTTTAAGTAAAATCAGCATAATTGTCATTTTTTTAGGTGCCATTATTGTCAAAGTTACCGAAATGTGTTAGTTATGTCTAGGAAAGCTGAATTTATAGTATGTCAAAATCCAGGTCATAGTCGTTCAGCACACGGTCCAAACTCTTGCTAGCAAAAAGAGGAGAGTTATAAATTTAGTCTTTGTGTATCTATAAGTTAATCTGTGGCATCGTACAAACCACAGAACAATAAATACAGTGGAAGTGGTTAGTTAGCGTCGAACGCGTGCCAACTATAGGTCTCGAAAGACCTATCTGAGCTCAGTGCACCATTTTCGCTTTGTATGGTATGGTTGTGTCATTCTTTCGTGCAAATTCAATCATCAATAAAATGCCTTATTGTGCTTGAGTGCAAAAATGATAGCCACACCAAAAATATTACCCGTGGCGGTATTTCATATCATCGGAAAGTTTTATTTAGAACTAAATTAATAACTCCAATTCGTCGTCGTTCAGCAATTAACCGCTAGATGGCAGCACATTGATTGAAATTTGAATTGAGGATAAACTGATCTTAAGTAGAATTTATTTCTAATTTAATCAATTCAATTCAGTTATTTATTCATTAACAACATACAATTAAATGTGTTTGAATGTCATAGATTTAAATTTAAGAATCATAGAAATTAATTACAGATACATAGTCAATTGAATTATTAGAAATTAAAGTAAAATTGTGTATTAACATAAAATGTCAGAACATAAAAATAATATGAGTCATTTTGACTCAATATTTTTTATTATTTGTTCATTTTGACTCATAATAATTTTATGGTCACTTCTTGTATTCGAGTATATATAAAATTATTACAAGTCAAAATGAATAATTTAAAATAATATTTTTTTTACGCACACACTCAACATTTCCCCGTACTAGGGAAATCTTGCGTCACGGGTGCCATGGACACGTATATAGACAACCACAAATTACACCCAAGCTCACGAGAGAAATAAATGAAAGCCATACAAATATTTTTACAAATTTTCCCGGCCCAGGAATCGTACCTGGGACCTCTGAAAATCGGACATGTCCCTGTTAATAAAAGAATCGGAGAAAACGTTTCAATCCGAATGCGTGAGTAAAACTCCTATCAGTCGCACTCCAGTAGTTTCGAAGAAAACGTCGACCAAAGTTAATGTCCCGTATTTGGTATTTTTTAAACGTTTATGTCCCGTATTTGGTATTTTCATTACACCGAAAACCGAATTATGATGAAACCGTTGTTCTTTCAGGATATGTTGCATGTTTATCGCAAAGACACGATTAGGTTCGGGCGAAACCTTAGCGATAAGTCTGGATATTGCTAAGGCCTTTGATCGGGTCTGGCACCGTGGTCTCCTCTCCAAGCTTCCGGCATATGGTCTTCCCGGCCGCCTTTGTGAGTGGATCTCCGGCTTTCTGCGCGAGCGAAGATTGCGTGTCCTTGTTGACGGAGGCACTTCGCGGCTCGTGACAGTTAATGCTGGGGTGCCACAGGGCTCCGTGCTGTCGCCCACGCTGTTCCTTCTGCATATCAATGACTTGTTGCCTTTTGGCAACATTCATTGCTATGCAGATGATAGCACAGTGCACGGTTGCTATTATAAGCAATCGTCAAACACCCGGGAGGACCCTGAGAGAAACCGGGAAAAACTTGTCGCTGAGCTCAACCATGTTTTGGAGCATATATCGTCGTGGGGCTCCCGAAACTTGGTTGAGTTCAACGCCAAGAAAACCCAGGTATGCGCGTTCAGCTCCAAAAAATCCCCATTCCTTCCACTTCCCCATCTTCAGGGTACAACGCTGACGCTGCAGGACAAGCTCAGTCTGCTGGGGATGAGCATCCGGAAGGACATGAGCAACAAAGATTACATCGAGAGCGTCATCTGTACCGCGTCGCGCAAGCTTGGCATCCTGAACAAGGTGCACCGATTTTTTACTCCAGAGCTGCGATACCTGTTGTATAAAGCTCAGGTCCGAAGCAGCATGGAGTACTGTTCGCACCTTTGGGACGGCTCTGCCAAGTACTTGCTCGATGCCCTAGATGGACTGCAGCGCTACGCCTTCCGTGTTGTCAACGATCCTCATGTAACTGAGCATGCGGAGTCGTTACAGCTTCGCAGAGATATAGCGTCTCTTAGCGTATTCTATCGCCTGTACCACGGTGAGTGCTCTGAAGAGTTATTCAACCTTGTCCCTTCCTCTCCTTTCCATCAGCGGACCACCCGTGCCGGACTGCGTTGCCACAGTTGGACGGTCAGTTCAATACCGTCCCGTACTAAAAAGTTTGGCAATTCGTTTTTATGCCGAACCATCAAATTGTGGAACCAACTCCCGGCGCATGTATTCCCTCCCCTCTATAACATTGGGTCCTTCAAACGTAGTGTGAAGAAGCATTTGGCCAGACCGGCAAAATGATAGTGACGGCGTGAAGATATTTGTGTTTTCCATCCGTTACTCTCATCTCTGGACTGTATTCGCTTTTCATCAGGCGCGGTGCAGTCATTTTGCCGAGTCACAATTAAAAAAAAAAAAAAAAAAAAAAAAAAAAAGGTTAGTTAAGTTAGGTTTAAAAGAAAAAACATTTCCCTCTCAAAATTACTTTCGAGGTTATGAAAATTCGAGCAAACATTATTTCTGGAAAGTGTCATTTCGGAGTACTGATAGATAACCTTTTTTTTTTTTTGACGGGGGCAAATCTTTATGGATACCCCTGAGCCCAGGGAGACTCAGGGGTTATGTGGGGACTCTCCCTCCAGACTGGAGAGCCTACCCCACTAAAACCCCCCCGGGTTTCCCTCTCGCCGGTTGAGTCGGCACCGTGGGATTAGTGAACATTCACCACGACGCCGCCCGGACTGATAGATAACCTAACCGGTCGGCCACGGAGGCAGTTAATTAAAATAAATTAAAAATAAAAATATAAAAACAACAATTTATAAAATTTACAACAAATTTAAAATTCTTCTACGGAGCATTATTTTTGTAATAATAAGGTTCAATTCACACTGGCGCAGAGTCGAAGCGTCGCCGTCGCGTCGCGTCCTGTTTTTCAACTACACCGCCTGGCGACGCGCGAAGCCGCTCGATTCCATATTTGCAAAACACAAATTTGTACCTTAATAATGGGAAAATGGAGATGAATATGCTATAGGCGAAAAACATGACGCGGCGCAACGCTTCGACTCTGCGCCAGTGTGAGATGAGCCTAAGTCTCTCAGTCTTTTTTTAAATAGTTTTATGTCAGAAATTGGTCTTCATTTGTCTCAAAAGTTCTTCTCCGCTTTAAAAGTTCTGTCAGCAATAGCATGATCGTGATGATTATAGACTTGCTGTGAGTTAAGGTTGTGTATGGCCCTTTTTTACAATATAAAACCACACTCCATATTATATTGGAAGCTGTTTCCCCATAGTAAAATTTTGACTCTATCAAAGCATGATACACCGATTTTAATTGCTTTATAGGAAGCACATCTCTTAAACTTCGTAAGGCAGAACTGATGGAGTTTTCTATAGCTGTAAGCTCATATTTCCAATTCAGAAAATGGTCAATATGAATGCCAAGAAACTTAACTTCGTCTTTAATTTCTATTAATCTATCACCAAACTGAACATCCAAGACATCTTCCTATGCTATATGCTAGGCTTCTTTTATTTGAACAAATTGTTTCTGATTGACCAAATAAGAGTTTAAAACTTCAAAGTTACTGTTCCCTGTCCCGTAGTGCTCCAGTCAAGCAATCAATAAGTCACAATCCACAGTATCAAAAGCTGTACTTAAATCAAGAAAAACATCGGCTACTTTTTGCTTATTATTCATTTTCCTCATTATAGCTCCGATTAGATCGGTATAGTTCTTAACCGTGTTTGATGACTGTTGTAGGAACTGACTGTTGTAGGAACTGCCTGTTTTAGGTACTGACTGTTGTAGGAACTGTGGAATTCGGCGAAAGCAACAACAACTTCGTCCTCCAAAAATCCTCTAAAGGGATCTGTTGCTAGCGATCTAAGAACAAAAGCAGCTTTTATGAACGGGTTACCATTTGACAGGTATTTAATATTTTCGCTTAACTGTCAACAGCTGAGAACACATTTCGTTTACTTGATATTTACAACTTTAGTAGCAGTATAGTGGTCATTGTGTAATTTGTGCAGGGAAGTACTGCCACCATTATTATTTCTGCTGCCAAGCAGTAATGTGGGCATTACTGAGTTCCAGTTTTGAAAGGTAAAGGTGCTAGTGAAACTACAAGCACATGAGACTTGTCAACTTAATGTCTCATGGTGATGGGTGCAGTAGCAGTTTAAGCTCGAGTGGCAATGCAACTGTTACGAGTAGGTGTGTCGCTGACTATCAGGCGCACATGTCTATTTGTCTCGTTACTTAATATCATAAAAATAATTAAAAAAATTACAGAAGACGCCGTCACGTCGGTAATACCTGATAATAGTACGACTCCTGGATCTCTAGCAAAAAACGAAGCAACAGGTAAAAATAACTTTTTTGATTTATAGTTTTATTTTATAATATTTTTACACGTTACTTTCCAAAACTCGTATAAACTCGTAGGCAAAGAAAACGCCAAGCCAAAATTTCACCAGGCTGGTTATATCTTCTGTATTCCCCCGAGAGGTGTGCGTGTGTTACTGCTCAGTAGGTGCCACAAGATGGCGGGATGACACAGACGCGTTCTTAAATGACTGGCCGGAGATGAAATGAGTTGAAAGTCCAAGCGAGATGCTTGTGATCAACAGTGGGACACTATAGCAGGCTGGCAAAAACAAAATATATTTTTAAGGTCTTTGTCGAGGCATCACCAGGCTTTTACAATTGTAATATAATAACAACGTTGGTTTTTTTTCAAACCGTGTTTGGTTTCAGATTTAACCTTACTTTGGATCGGTTTGGGTGTGGCTCTACTTATTGTATTGCTCATAATTATAGCCGTTTTAATTTACATATTGCAAAAGAAGCGCAATGTTACTCCTAAGGTTAACGATAATCCCGAGACTGATGTAAGTATTGAATTTAATTATTGACTGTTAAACAGATATCTATAATATTTTGGAAGGATAGTTAGGACACACAACAGTCCAGTTCTGCAGGAGCGGTTTTTTTATGATATCGTGTGATAGAATGAACAAGTCGTGCACCTGGCGGTAAATGACACGCTTACCTATAACATTACAGCGCCACTTAGAACAGCTCTAAGTCGCAAAAACCTGAGGGGTGCTTCCACTGTGCCCGTCATCCTAACATATGAAGTTGACTAGCCCGATGTCCCTATATTTTCACCAGCACCTGTACCTTTCAAGGCCGGAACACAATAATGCCCTTATTACTGCTTGCTACTAACCGCTCACGCGATGCGCTCCTCCTACCGCAAAATGGCGGCTATTTGGTTTCGCAAATTAGAAAAGCATTCAGTTTTAATACAAGTTTTTATACATAAAAATTATTATTCTGCATTGCTAAATAAATACCCTCCGTACTATACCGTATGCGTCTACGGCTGCATGTATCGCGTGAGCGGATAATGGAATAAAATTGCAAGTATGACGTAATGTCGACCTTGTACTTAGGTATCTCTTCCATTGCCACAAGTTATATTATCATTTCAACAAGACGTTTCGCTATAAGAGATTTTCCGAAACCGAGTACTAGAAACAATCTTGTACCAGTTCCATGGCACTTCTCTGGCTGGTCGCGACTAGTGACACAATATATTAATTAAATATCAAATTTTTTCCGACATATTGTATGGTTGAAATCCTTATACTAACTGATAGAGCTGATATGATAGAGCTGATGATATATAAACAGCTGTGCAGTTGTTCACTATATCATATAGCTAAGAACATCAGAATCATTTCACATTAGAATCTTTTAATCCCGAGTTCTTAGGTTTTCGCAAAATACGCGTGTTACGGAATGATTTTTTTTGTTTCGATTCTAAATTGTGTAAATTTGTTTTTTCAAACAAACCAACGTTTCGGGCCTTTACGGTTCCCGTGGTCACGGTTGACTGAGGTGGTAAAGTCTTCAACCAGTTATGTCTAATATTAATGCAAACCACCATATTTTTCCCCATTCCTACAAAAGTTATTAATTAAATGTAACTTTATTGTTTTTTTTTTCTAAGAAACATTTCAATATACCCAAATGAATTAATAATTATTAATGTATAAAATAAACTGCAGTCTTATGTCTGCTTGCGATTTAAAGCTCTGAGTGGCACTGCAACTGTTATGGACAGGCGTGCGGCTTACCATCAGGCGCACGACTTATTCGTCTCGTCACTTGATAATTATATATCAAAAATTCTTTTTTGTTTTAATTTCAATGCCTTCTCGCAGTATCTTGGGTAGAAAAGAGAAATAATAAGAGGAAGGGTTTGAAGAGCCAGCCCAATCATAGGCCATGTTGCTTAAGATTTTAGTGTCATTGCCATCGACCGATAGACTGGCAATGACCAATATCAATCAGGTGATTCTTTGGTCTAATTGCTAGTTTGTGTGTCATGGAAGTAAGTCCATATATTTTTTAATTACAGCAGGCGCCAGTCTACAGCTACGCAACTGCACCTGTAGTGTCCTGGGAAGAAGCGCACGCGCGGGCTGCAAACAACCGTCCGCTGCCGCGATATCAGACCGTTGTGCCCAGGCTGCCGCCACGAAATGCCGATCAAAATGAATACGAATATATCGACCCTATTAATTTGAGGAGACGAAACCAACCAGAGTAGAGAAAATGATAAAAGCTCCTTTCAAAACGCCATCGCCTGTAATCTTTATGTATGTCTTTGCTTCATAGGTAATTCAACGTGTGAACGTTTAAATAAACATAATTTTGATTTTGTATATATTTTCTTTTTTATCTGTGATAATGTATCTCTATTGGAGTCATTCTGCTATGTATAAAAAGAAAAGATTAAAGGTGATTGATATTTTAATTAAAAAACATCGATATCCGTTCACGCGATGCGCTTCTCCTACCGCAAAATGGCGGCTATTTGGTTTCGCAAATTAGAAAAGCATTTAGTTTAAATACAAGTTTTTATAAATAAAAATTATTATTCTGCATTGCTAAACAAATACCCTCCGTACTACCAACAAAAACATCTCAAATAAAATGCAGTAATACACCGCAAATCCTGCACTTAAAAAGCACTAATGAAATTTTTGGTGTACTTGGATAAATATGTTAATATTCCGTTTGAGTGGTTCTAACGTTTACCATGAAATTACTCCTTAAAGTATAGTTTATAAACATTTATATTCAGGGTAAACTTAAAAAATGCTACTTACGGTATGTTTTCAATAAATAAACACCGAAATCACCAGCCCAAACAATAACACACACGATTGTCGTGACGTATTTTTGAAGTTGTTTATTTTTTTAAATGACAGACCCAGGCATTAAAAACTTTATGGTTTGATAAAGTAGTTACCCAAGTAGCAATTAATATTAGTTCTTTTACCTGTTATAACTTCGATATCCGATAAATCGGTATAAAATCATCACCGGCACCTCTAGGTGTGGTATGCGTCTACGGCTGCATGTATCGCGTGAGCGGATATATAACAAAAATAAGTATTCCTTACGTTACAAAACCAAAAAATATTGAAATCTCGTCTTGGGATTTATAATTATAACTATGAATGTTAGAAAATCAACTTTATGTAATATAGTTTATATTAAAAATGGAGAATCAAAAAAACAAATTGGCCTCTAAGGCTCTTAGGATAAGTGTTCGACTTGAGGTTTACGCAAATGGGGTTTATTACATTTGTCGCACATTGACTTGTGATCGTTTTAATTTTTGATAGACAAACGGCACATTTCCTTCTGTTTGACTTACGTAATTTATTATCGCTAATAGACCAATTGAGACTGAAAAAAAAGCAGCCGCAGTAGCCTAATGGTTTGACCTACTGCCACTCAAGCAGAGACCGTGGGTTCAAATCCGGGCTCGCACCTCTGAGTTTTTCCGAATTTATGCGCAAAATTTTATTTGAAATTTATATTTAGCGTTTCGGTGAAGAAAAATATCGTAATGAAACCTGTACATCGAAGAAGGATCACAACCTTCGCCTGAGAAGAGACCCGTGCACAGCAGTGGGATGTACAAATGGCGAACTTAGCCCTCGATCTTCGATATCACTTTGTACGTCGTCTTGTATAATATCATCATCTCTTTCACTATCCGACCAATCGGCCTCTTCGTCACTGAATGCTTGTTGTAACCGGGATATTTCTGCATCTTATACAAAACCTAATCACGTTATTTTATTATAATAACATAGCCTGTAAAAAATTATAATTTGCAATTAAAAATATATAATATTTATTCGCACATAAATCACGAAAACTTTCTACTACACGATAACACCAAAGTCAAAAACTAACGCAAAAGATAACCATACGTCACTTCGACGTATGGTAGGTGTATTATTTAGATAAGTAGAGTCTCATACACAGCGACACCAGTGTCTTCTGCAAGCTCTGTGGGCCGACTGCGTGGTGCACTGGTACTTAATACGAAGGAATCATATCGATTTTTCAAAATCGAATATGTCGTTTCGACGTAGGTTATCTTTCTACGGTTAAACACTCCTACTCATTCTTAAGGCCGATTCTGAGAAAAATAAGGGTAGCTGTTATTATTGATAGAAAGATAGAAGAAACACAAAGAAAAACCCTGTCGATCCAGCTAGACTCGAGCCTGCGACCTCACAATAAACCGGGACTATGCCTCTCCCAACTGTGTTACGGAACGAGTCAGCAGACCTCACGAATTTCTCTATGTGCTAGTTGCAGGTCTTTGTTTTTGGGTCTAGGGGTTCTAAAGAACCATTTAAGAAAAGAAAATAAAAATAAAATTTAAAATAAAAAGCAATGGAAGTGCCTTGAGCCTCGATTGCTATCGGAACGCACACAAACAAATGACAAACACTACGAAATCTTAATAATCATTGGTCATAGTTTCTAATTTAATAAGATGTAACAAATTCTTTATTGTTAATTTAATTTAAACTTTACCCCATGTCGTTCAAAGTTTAATACTTTTATTGCAAGTTACGAAGAAATTTATTCAACGTGCTGCCATCTTGCGGTCAGTAGCTGGACTACGACGAACGATTAACATCTGAATTAAAGAAAATTGAAAATTTATTAAAATAATAATAAATTTTCAATTTTGTTGAAAGTAAGACTTACCGATGGTATGAAATACTACATGTAATATTTTTGGTTCGGCTATCGTTTTTACACTCCAAAACAGTACAATAAGGCAAGTTTCTGCGTTTTTAGAGAATTTACGCGAAGAAATGCCATAACCATACCATACAAAGCGAAAATGGCGGACTGAACTCAAGTAGGTCTTTCGAGACCTAATGTTGGCGCGCTAACTAACCACTTCTACTGTATTTGTTGTTCTGTGCATAAAACCACTCTTTCTGTCGTAAATGTTATACGTGTAAGAGGATCTTAAAGGAATGTTAGGCAGGAAAATAATTACGCATCTTTCTTCGTTATACGCGTACACGCAATTTTAACATTGTACAACTCGTTAATTCGGAGCACTCTTGAATATGCGACACCAAAATGGAACCCGCACTATCAAATCCATGTAGATAGGATAGAACGCGTACAACGCGCATTCACTAGCTTTCTAGCATATAGAAATAAACAATGCCCGTATAGAGCAGACTACGGCGAGCGTCTGTTACATTTCAAGTTGGAGACATTAAAGACTCGGAGACAAATTTTCGACCTAACTTTCCTCTATAAGGTTTTACATAGCCAGGTAGACACGCCCCAAATAATGTCTCAAGTTAACTTGGCGATACCCAGAAGGCTTCCACGTTACCCAGTGCGAAATATATTTTCGGTTCCTGTATCTCGTACTAACATAGGCCATTTTTCTCCACTTCACCGTAGCATGAGAACTTTCAATAACGTAAATACAGACGTGGTTGACATCTTCCACGACTCGTTATATAAGTTCAAACGGAACGTAACAACTGCCTTAAACTCCTAAGACGCCACGTCTCAGGGGTTTTGTTTTACATTGTTTAATAATTTTGTAGATAGTAGTATTTGTTCTTTTTTTTCTGTACAGTATTTTTGTTTCTATTTGCTGTTTAAATTAAAAATTTTTTTTTCTTCGTAAATGCTGTATATGCCTGGAATGGTACAACATACTGTATAAAAAATTATATGTTTTAACATTGAAATATATATATTTATATTTGTGCCGATGGTGTCTCTAAATAAATAAATACGTCCATGAAAAATTTTATTGACACACTGACAAAAGGTGAAATATTAAAAAATTTAAAAATAACATTCACACATCAATATTAACCCAAAGACTGTAACATCCTCCACACCATGGCGCTAGAAACCAATCGCCATAATCATAACTTAAAAAACACATTGCCAACTAAACAATAATATTAAACATCAAACTTTTCCGGCACTTTCACCAGACTACCCGAACGTGTAAGACTAAGAACTGGTAAGAGCATGTTTTCTGATGGGTATGCATTGCTCTCTTTTATCAACGCGGATACATCTGCACAGGGCAGCTCGAGGCTGTACAAAGAATGCAAAGCTCGAAGGCGTTTATCAGTTGCGGTCTTCACTCGAGCAACTCTGTTGTGGCCGTCAACGCCGTCCAACACTTCTATCACCAACGCGACAGGCCACTCTATACGCTTCTTATCGTTAACTTCAACAAGAACGACATCGCCTATCACTCTTAACATGCGGAAGTTAATTGGCTGTCCATAAGAACCCGTACTAGGTCCGTCTCGGATCCGCAACTTCCGCAAATTAAGTGTTAACCGTAACATGTTTCCCCGATGTTCGTTTTTCCACTAAAAGCGCTAAATATTTGCTCCGAAAACTCTGCTTTAAATCTGAACATAACTTCTTAATATAACGCCACCTAGCCGTCAAAATGGGTTGAGCTATCGACTTTATACCTATACTGTTAGTACTAGAAGACTTCAGAAATAACAAAAAGGTAGCTGGTGTGAGAGGCTGTAGGTTTTCCGTACTCTCCGTAATGTAAGTGAGCGGTCGTGAATTTACAATTGCCTCTACCTAGCAAAGAACGGTTTGCATTTCATTAAAGGTCAAAGTGGCTTTGCAATACTAGGCAAAATTTTCTAATCTTAAAATTTCCTTTACAGTACGAACCATACACTCCCAAAATCCTCCCCACTATGGCGCTGCGGGTGGACTAAATTGCTTGAAATCATCACATTGGTTAAACTCTACCGCTCATTCGTAGGCAGGTTCCCCTGAGAAGAATGAGCAAGAAACTCTAGGGGTTGCTCTTTGTAAATAACATTTGTACGCATTCAACATTTACAATATATGTTTTATTTTCTTTCAAACATCAGAGATCGAGACTACCTCCATGAGCTAAACGGGTTACTACCACGGATTTTTGTCATCCAAGTACGCCGAAGTTGTATAATAACCTTTAGTATAAAGTTTTTGTTTCGCTATAATTTTAAACCTCGTGAATAGCAAATTTTGTATATCAACCGGAATCTTGTTATAGAAGCGTGTAAATTGCCCCTTGTATGAATTTGTGACTTTGTGAAAACGACCATCAAGAACTGCTAGTTTATTTTTATTCCTCGTATTAATTTTATGTCTGTCACTATTTTTCATAAAGTGATTACTATTCCTTTTAACATAAATTACATTTTCATAGATGTGCTGTGACGCTAGTGTAAGAATATTAATTTCCTTAAACTTA